TGCGTTCTCTCTCGCTCGCACAGAGCATAGCGCTCTCTTTCGTCAAGCTACGTGCGAGCGAGAGAGAACGCAAGGGCACGGAACAGAGTATATGTCCTTTTCTACGTGCACCTTAGCCCCCACTCCTCAACACTCGGTCTAGATATACTATGGCCGGTATTCATAGTCCGTTCTTATATTCAAGATCGTCTTAAGTACGATCTTAAGATACTATGCGGCCATTTCATTGGTTGAATGGGATCTTAAGACGACCCAAGACCACACTTAAGACGATCTTGGATATAAGAACGGACTATGAATACCGGCCTAGGAGTAGGAGAGTATACTTTTAGTGTCGGTCTACAATTGACAGCCAATCATGTGATAATGTGTAATACACTGTGTCGTCTGTGTACCTTGCTGGAAAACGCCCTATGTCTATGGCTAAAAGATACACAATCAACTTTCTGCTGACGCTTGCACTATTGCGCATGTGCGAGATTTTTCCCACGAGCTTTCATCACTGATCTAGTTTCCACCGAAGTCGTCAATCCGATCCTGTTTCGGTGCGCATCGAATTTAACGTACTGTTTCCACTGGAAGTAGAATAGAAGCGAGGAAGATTGATATTTCAGTAGAGCCAACTTATCTTCTGCTTGTGAATGTAAATAAACATAATCCTTGACAACTTTCTCGTTTATTTTTCATTTTGATAATTGATACGAACAAACGATAACTGTTACGAACATCAACATATAGGCCGGTATTCATAGTCCGTTCTTATATCCAAGATCGTCTTAAGTGTGGTCTTGGGTCGTCTTAAGATCCCATTCAACCAATGAAATGGCCGCATAGTATCTTAAGATCGTACTTAAGACGATCTTGAATATAAGAACGGACTATGAATACCGGCCATAGACTATATATCGACTATGGGTGTGTTCCCTTTTTGCCGGCGTTACAACCATCCATGACTTTAGTCCTACGCCGCACTTAATGGTTCCGTGCCATGGGGAACCCACTAATTAAAAAACGAAACGGAATTGAAACGGAATCATTCTGATTGGTTATCTTCCATTTGGTTTTTTCCGTTACAGTTCCGCGCCGCTATTCTTTCTCCATCGGGATGCACCCTAATGGTCACATCCACTTTCGGAGCCATGATAAAACAGCCGATTGGTTCATGTCCGTGCTACGTGCTACATCCACTTTTCGATACTGTCAATTTTGATTCATGTCCGTGTTACATCCACTTTTCGATATTGTCGATTCTTCTTCTTCTTTCTTTTATGGCTGGCTGGGCATTAGTCGCCCATACACCATTGTTTCTTATGGGTTTGTAAAATACAAGCAAAACTCCTCTCAACAAGAGAGGAGGGAGTCCAAAAAAAAGGTCCAGACAAAGGACATACGCAGCACGCAAAAAAAAACACGTCCGAACCCGACACGTTGTCAGTCGGAACTTTTACGATATTGTCGATGCTGGTAGTACCACAGTATATACAGTAGCGCAACTCCCTGTCGGCACCTTTGATGTTAGTGTTGGCCAAAACGAAGTGCGCATGCGCGAAATAAGTAAGTTGATCGGTAACGCCATCTGAACTTTTCTATAGAAAAAAAAGAGTAAGTGAGAGAGAAATTTAGATGACGTACTGGCCAACTTACTTATTTCGCGCATGCGCACTCCGTTTTGGCCAACACAAAATCGGGAGAGTTGCGCTACTGTATATACTGTGGTAGTACCATAGACATAGTATATCTAAACCAAGTGTTGAGGAGTGATGACCATGAAGGAAGAGTAAGGAGAGCTTAGAACATATATAAATGGAAGGGGAATAGCAGGCTGAAAAGTGTGGAAGGAAGTGAGAAAGAAATCGTAGTTGCCTCTCTCTTGTGTACTACACACACATGGCCGCGCATGCGCACTTTTGAGCAAAGTAACTCACAAGAGAGAGGCAACTATGATTTTCTTTCTTACTTCCTTCCGACATGTTTTTCTATCGGGAAACAAAGAATATAATCAGAGAAGCGACATCATAGACATAGTATATCTAGACAGTGTTCCGATTAGGGACCGGCTGTACGCGCATGCGTGCTTTTGCGCATGCGCGACGGTGAGAATTAGCGATGTACATGATGCGTGCAGACGTTGTAGCGGGACGTTACGACAGCTGGAAATTAAATGATATATATAAGATAAGATTTTTATATGTTTAATCGTTCTTTAATTAATCACAATGTATATTTTTATCTATATATGTATATATTTTATTTCTTAATACATTTTTAAAACATTTTTTAAATATTTTAAATGTAGCCGGGTAATAGTGCCTCTTTTTATTTGTATAAGATACTTTACTGATGCCGTATTCCCGCACATGCGCGTACAGCCGGTCCCTAATATCGCGTCCAGTGTGCGAGAGCCATAAAGCTAGCGCCAGACTATGCGCGTATTCGCCATCGACATATAGTACTGGACCACTGACGAGATACTATTAAAGATCGTCAGCCCTGGGTAAACTTTTGTGACCATCAAGTGGGCCCGGTGGGCCCGGAGGTAATTGAAGAATGTTGACATTACCGGCCGTTTGATTGGATCGAAGATAATTACACGAATTATTTAATTCATACGGTTATTTTACTTCATCAAGTTATTATTTTATTATCGAAAACACCGACGAGATATCATTAGAGATCGATAGTCTTATAGGATTTAGCATATTACTGGAAAAAAACTCGCCACGCGGTACTGTAGGTAAGTAAATCTTTGCATTGTCGATAATAAAACAGTAAATTTACAATAAAATGTTTATTTTGTTGTTCTTGAGACAGTTATATAAAAGATCTATATATTTTCGATAATAAAACAATAACTGGATGAACTAAAATGTTACGTCCGGTGGACTCCACGATTCTTTTCTTTCACGTAATATTAAATGCCTACGCTCTGGAACTCTTTGCACTATAAACAATAAACTAAAGGAATATCTAGCAGGCGAGACTAATTTGAATCTTCGTATATGTATAGTGTTACGTTTAGTTGTGGTAGTAATTAGTAAGTAGTGTGTCATCCAACACACTTACTGATCACTAATCAACTAAACATAACACTATATATGTACGAATATTCAAGATGGCGACGAATTGGTCCAAGTCATTTCATTTGGCAAACCTGGCCACATACGGAACATTTTTCGTGACCACTTTTTTTCTCTCTACACTGTCGAGATAACTCTCCTTACTCGTCCTTCATGGTTGCATCGCAGGACACTTTTTACATTTGTTTTCGTTATTATTTGTGTTATAATAACATGTGAATTACGTTAAATATTATAATAGACAGCCATAAAGCCGGTTTTCTCGCTCATATACGTCGAACGTTGCTCCAATGAAGTATTCGAGGTCAAGTTCGAAGTAAAATATTCAATATCATTTGACCTATATTTCAACCAAATTTCAAAAAATGGTAATAATTAAAATATATATTGTAACCGTTAGAACATACAGGATTTTTTTAAAATCTTACTTGTAATTCGTGCAGAGTTCGTGTAGAAATCTATTCAAAGAATGGCCGCGTTCAGCAGAGAAAACTGCTTAGTAGCAATCGAATGTGATTGGTTCTTACTTTTAGAACCAACAAATCAACGTCGAGTGTTGACAAGACGATAACTGAGCGCTTTCTCTGCTGAACGCGGCCAATGATAACTCGTATTTTACTGTTTTAAAATATAGTTTAAAAAGTATAACAAAAAGATGGGCATAAAAACATCGAGAGATTCAGCATGTATATTTTGTCTATTAAAAAAAAAAAAAGATTACAGAAATAAAATTCGCGATAAACAAATGAATAAACATTTGCATGAAGAAAAAAAAATCTTGCGAACGATCGATCGCCATCGGTCGGTCGAGAGTTTTCCGGCGAGGTCGATAAAAAAGCCGGACGACGACCGGTCGCCACTCTCCGCGGTTGAAAAGGGTCGATCCCCTTTAATCGCGCGAAACAACATGGCGGAACGCGCTCCCGCGCCGGTACGGCTCTGTCTCTCGCAGTGATTCGCGACGGCATTCGGAGGTTGCGGAAACGCGCGCGGAACGTACGCGGGCACGCAACGAGTCGCGTATATACACGTACGCGCGTGAACGGTGCGTACCTCCTCTCCCCCCACCTATCGAAAGTACATTGAGATTTTCACGCGTGTCACGGTCGATTCTCGCCGTGCCAACGTACGGCGTTTCTCGTCGTCGCCTGCCTGTTCGCGGATCCTCTCTCGTCGTTGTGTTAGTATCGATCAGAGCACTCGTGCCGGCAGCGATGTGCCGCCGCGGATGATGGAGCTGACGCTAGCGCGCGACATCTTCGTCGGCCAGGTCGCGTCCCCGTGATACGTTTGTTGCGCGAAAGAAGAGGCTGCTGTATCACCTTGCCCCCCTTCCCCCCCCGCAGAGGATCAACGACGACGCCTCGTGTCCATTTGTCCGGTCGCTGTCCGGTGACGAGGTAAGTGCCGACGCGTCAAGCATTATAGTTTTAATGAAAAGGATATTGTTTAACTGTAACCTTTCTCAGAAAAATTATTTGTACAATCTCGTGTTAATTCCACCACATCTTTTTTCCTCTTGTTTATAGCGGTTATAATGGAAGCTTGTAAATATTTTAAATATCAATACGCAAAGATACATACATATATGGATTAGCGTTGCGATATTTTTTTTTTTTTTTTTTTTTTTTTTTTTTTTTTTTTAAAATTATTGCTCTTTTGCTTTATTTGCGATGTTTGAGAGACAACAAGAAATATAATTTAAATTTAAATTAATGTTGAAATTTTGGTAGCATATATTATACTTTCCATTTTTATATTTGATTTTGTGCGATAGTTTTTTATATTTTGCACTGTGAAAATATTCGGAAAATAAGATCTTTGCGTATCCGCGTTAAATAAAAATAAATAAGTTTTCTTTCAAAAAGAAAGAATTTACTTACCGAGCCGTAAAGTAGACCACAGGAATCCATACAGAGGTAAAGGCAGGTCGCTACGCCTTGAATCCTTAATTGACCTCTCGATATCGATTTTTTTTTTGAGCTGTTGATAAAATAGCGCTGATAAGTGATTGTATGTAGTTGAAAATGCCCAAAAATACAGTTGTACGATACTTTTAATTGGCGCCGTCAATTTAAATATTTTAATTGCACTTTATGTATGTACTTTTTTGTATCTGAAATGAAAGAAACAAAGAAAAGATAGTATATATATATATATATA